AATTCAGTTGATTCCCACCTACAGCCGCATGTACACCAAACACTATGCGAGAAAAATTCTACGATTAGATCGTATGATTTGCGAGTGATTTGTGACGTTCCACTGGCTTTATAAGCAAAAATAGCAAGCATTTTACGGCTGTTTGCTTCTTGTTCGCACACTATTATTCGCATTTATAAAGCTCCAAAAGATCTGCAAGTGTTCTTGAGAAATTTATGAATGAGAAAATAAGATCGCTTTAAAATTATAAATGCTGGAATTGACATCTGATTTTATTTGACATCCAAATTGTTTCATTCACTTCTCCTTGTCACGATAAGTCTTCTGTAATATATTTTCCATCCTCATTACGCAGTTATATTCTTCAGACATGGATCAATTTTCATTCTCATGAGTGCTTTTGAACAGTGCAGCATATCGGCAATTTTTTATTTCATTGCATTTACGAAGTATTTATTCGATTGAATCATTGCAATGTTACATCAAACAAAAGAACTGCTTTCGGCAAAACAATAACCTGCAGGTGATGAGACTGTTCTTCTTGCTTAGCAGCCTTACCGTCCTGATTGGGAATGCACGAAGTAAAGGACGATTGAATGACAAAGATGTGAAATATGCTAAATTGGTTGAGAAAATGCACCCAAATACGACAATGGTTATATTTTTATTGCGACATGGGCAACGATTACCAGGCCGCTTCTTGAATGGCACTGAACATATTTTTAGCTCTGAACTTGGTGCTTACGAACTCACAAAGGTTGAAATTCGTTGTATTTGATGGATTTTTCTTAAGAAGATTTTGTGTCAAATCAGAGCTGTATGTGAACAGCACTATCATTGCAGATCAACAATCCAAAAAAAAATTAAACATCCAATTGGGCGTTCTATGAGTATTTTCTGAGATAGTGACTGTATGAGACACTCACGCGTATAGCAACTTGTATGAAGCTGATTGAATACCTACAGATCGGAAAGGTTGAATCAACCAAGACTGGCGAAGCATTGCGTGGGTTCGTTGGCTCATTTGTGTCCAAGGATTATTTACAGAATGAAACTGAATTTTACAGTTCAAGCGCAAGTCGTTGTGAAGTGACACTTCAAGTGAGTTGTTTGCTCACTTCAACTAATTTTTGTCATACTGACAATCGTATAATTCCATCGTAGTGAATGCTCATGTGAGTCAGTCTTATCTAATTACGACATTTCAAAATTCAGTGATGTTTATTGAAGAGTTTGCTGGATGGCTTGTATTCAATAAAACCAGTAACATCGATAAATTATACAGTTGATGACCCGTTACTGCGAATGTATTCGGTGAATGGTTGTAAACTGAACGAGGAGGGTTAGTAAACGATTCAGCAGTGATGTGATCATTTGCGACAATGCCATTTGAGAATACCGCAATGTTTTCCTTGTTTCTTCCAATATAAGAATTTTGAAAACACCATCAAATCACAGCAACTTCCGCTGTTTCTTATGACTTCATCAATTTCCAGTTTATTCTTAGGGGAACGTCCATTATAAACATTCCGATAATCACTGTCGCGTTATTCATCAATACAGCAGCACTCTTTAATCACCTTTTTTTNTTTTTTTGCGGAAGTACTGCGATTGAGTTGAATTTTCACTCTACTAACTTTACCAAGAATTGTGTTAACCTCGAAACATTTCAGAGAATCGAAACGTTTTTCTTATTTCAGTTTATGCACCAATTAAGAACAATGCTCTGCCAGAACTAATGAAATTATATGAGAAGAACGAATTAATACTTAAGTATATGTCATATAAAACTGGTTGGCCTGCATCAATCGAGAGTGCGGTCGATTTAGCAGACAACCTTAACGCAATGGTGACTCATTTTCATTCGCATCTAGTAATGCTTCTAACATAATATGCTTCGGTAACACGAATATCGGATCAACGAACTGTTGACTGAAAACAAATCGAACAGAAGTCGATTTGGAGCCTTTAATCTAGAAAAGCTGCATTCAATCGGAGATGATGACAACAGAATAAACATCCTTATCAATATTACTCTCATCGAGTTCATACCTTCAGCGTTCGGCTTTGGAGTTTCCGAACATGTCTGTGTAATCAGAAATATTTCGACACTTGTTCGTATATAATTCATGCTTTAATATGGCATCTGATTCAACACAGTGGAGTTTATTTAGTTCGCTCACAACGTGTCATTACCCGATTGGCTGAAAAAACCAGAATTGTATGGCTATTACAAGAAGATATTGGTGGAAGAATATTTGAAATTCAATGAAATACACTCGATCAGTTGTGCTAACTACAAACCGTGTCGTAATCTGATGTCTGGATACTTGCTCCATAAAATCATTGGACTCCTTGGCAATGCAGCCGAAGGAGTTTCGCATCCAAAACTCGTCGTTTTCGTATCGGTTTGTTACTGAACGATTGCTTCACGAAATCGGTTCTGATATCAGATAGATGCATAGGGATTCGAAAGTTACGTTCATTATTGAACGATTTCAACTTGAAAGAAATCAGTCAAAAATTCTATTTGAGTACCAATTGTGCAAGAGCGGTTTAGTGAGTTATTTCCTCATCGCAAATAATCTACTCAACCATATTCGTCCGTTTTTGGTTGATTTCAGTCTTTCCAATTTGAATGTTGATTTTTTTTTCTTCGGCTCAAAAAGAATATCCGTAAACTTCAGCACACCGAAGTAATACTATCATTGATGAAAATGATAGGCATTTCAAAAAGCAGCTTACAATCGTCAGCAGGTATCTTACTCGAATTTCGCAGCGAACCGATCCCATCGATTCGCCTTCTTAATCATGATCCAGTCAAGAAACAAGAGCACATTTTTTATGAGGTTTGAACTGATCTGTTCAATATAATCATTAATATTGATACATTCTAATTTTGTTCGTTCTATTTTGCTTCAGTTAAACTTAGCTGCTTCAACATTTTGCGATATTTGCCTATTGACAAAAAAGAAGGCTTGAATTTGACCCGTTCAGGGAAATATTTTAATATTGTACGATTGAGACTGTTCCATATAACGATTGGTTTACATTCCAACCAAGACAACGAGAAACGTGAATGATCGGTACTGGTTTCCAATCCTCGCACTTGGGAACTATAAAGTAATCATTAGATGAAAGAGCTGAGATTTTTAAGCCTAACTGCTGTTTACATGTCAGCGTTCCCTTGATCATCGAAGAAAACTTACTGACGATAAAATCAAATTGAACAGATTATTGACCTTTCGAATAGATAAAGTTCTTATCGATGACCTCAGTGGAACTCAGGAATCTGTTATTTCGTTCGATTAACATAAAGGATTTGATTTGTTGTGAGGAAATAAAATTACTGAAATATCACCCACTTGACTCATGGGCTAAAACATTCTGGATGATATGGTTTTGAAGCGAATCACTCTTATTCCTATTCGAATTGCTCAGCTAATGTGAACGAACACTCATGTGAACAACTGCTGATGACTCATACTTTCATCAGTGAAATAATAATTTAGCCCAACTGTGAAGTGTCTCTATCGGAGATTACTGATGAAGAACGCTGGATTCCGTTATATAAATTTGTCTCACGATTGAAACAATACGAAGTAACGAATTGGGAAGAATACTGTAAACAGATGAAAGACGAACCCAAGTCGAATGCTGCGCAAAAAACCAATGAATTCCTCATTCTCTCACTGATCTTTCTTTTGTTTAAACGCTATCTGTTGTAATAAAAGTCTCATTGTTGATAAATTCTTCATTAGGACGTCCTAAGCCTAAGCGATGGAATGAGATAATTTGAATTGAAAATACATGTGTAGACATTTTAAAGATGCTCAAACAAGAGAGACAGATACGTTGAAGTGAATGAACACTCAGTTTCAAACAAAACTCAATACTTTCTCATCGATAATAATCAATTGGGTCTGTATTTTCATCTACCGCCATCTCGCTCTCACAGGAAAACTGTTTTGTGGAGAATTGAGGAACTCACTAATTTTAGGTCTGTGATCATGTGGTGGGGAAAAGGAACTTTTTTGAATCATATATCAATCATATGGTGCGCCTGTTGGATATTTGGTCATGAAGTGCGATAGATGAATTTCTGAAAGACAGATGAATCACCACGGCGACGACCTTGACCACACCCTTTTGGCCTATATCACCGTGAGCATTTTCAGTTTAACTCTTAGATCATTCGGTGAAG